CTGGTGGTAGCAGCTAGCAGTAGGACAGTGGTTTTTAACAATGAAAGAAGGAAAATCCAAAGGCTACATATTGTCATTCCATTCATGCAACATAGAAATGTAAAAACATCAATGATTTCCAAGGGTTGGGGGGAGTTGGAAGTGGCTGTCTATAAAAAGCATGCAAAGGGAAATTTTAGGATGAATCAGATATTTTCTATGGTGCTCTGCTGGTGAACACATGCCTGCATCTGTCCAAACTCATAGAACTACACGTAGCAAAGAGTGAATGTATCGCATACAAATTAAAAATGATCAACCAAGAGTACAGGGAAATTCCAGAATTAAACAGACTGTGAAAAAAAAATCTAATTTTATTATAAATGTATGACTTTACTTCACTGAAAGGAGATGAGGGGGGAAAAAAAAGCCAAGCTAAGTAAGGTTGGAAAAACAATGTGCTAACCAGAAGCCCTAAAGCTAAAAATAAATTTTGTAAAAATACTGTGCTTTAGTTGCTAAAGTTGTTTCTCATGGAGGTATGGATTAACAATTAGGCAACTGCTTTACTCCTATGCTGGAGATGGAATAAACCGAATTAGAGTCACAGACATAGGGGAGGAAAAGGTTCCTCAACCCTTCTAGGGTTCCTGGCTAGGTCTGAGATAAAACCGACAAAGACAGACTAACAGGGGAAAAGCGTAACAGATTAATTTAATCAAAATTCTATGTGACACGGGAGCCTTCAGGAATGAAGACTCAAAGATCCAGGGAAAATTGTTTGTTTTTATGCTTAGGTTCATGGAAGTGTGACTGCATGTGGAAATGTGACTGGACAAGGTATATGACCTAATGGTAATAGTGAGAAAACACAGCAAGGCCTGTCTGTTCAGATACTTCTTGGCCTCTCTGTCGTAGCATTTCTTCCTTCCAGGTATCGGGCACGAGCTCTCTGGAATGAGAGCCAATTATTTTTGTAACTTTTCTTTCAGGTTTGGGGGTACATGGGTAAGTTTGTATATAGGTAAACTTGTGTCACGGGGGTTTGTTGTACAGATTAATTCATCTCCCGTATGCTAAGGCTAGTTATTTATCTCTAATAGTTATTTTTTTCTGATCCTCTCCCTCCTTCCACCCTCCACCCTTAAGTAGGCCCCAGTGTCTTTTGTTCCCTTCTTTGTGTTCATGAGTTCCTATCATTTAGTTCCCACCTATTAAGTGAGATCATGTGGTTTTTGGACTCCCTATTCAATAAAAGGTGCTGGGTAACAGGCTAGCCATACACAGAAGATTGAAACTGGACCTCTTCCTTGAACCATATACAAAAATCTACTCAAGTAGGATTAAAGACTTCAATGTAAAACCCTAAGCTATAAAAACCCTGGAAGACAACCTAGGAAATAGCATTCTGAACATAGGAACTGGCAAAGATTTCACGACAAGGAAAAAGAAAGCAATTGCAACAAAAGCAAAAGTTGACAAATAGGAGCTAATTAAACCAAGAGTTTCTGCACAGCAGAAGAAACTATCAACAGAATAAGACAACCTACAGAATGGGAGAAAATATTTGCAAACTATGCATCTGAGAAAGGTCTACTATCCTACTTCCATAAGGAACTTAAGCAAATTTACAAGAAACAAACAACCCCACTAAAGAGTGCCCAAAGGACATTAACAGACACCTTTCAAAAGAAGACATACATGTGGCCAACAAGCATATGAGCCCATTTTTTTTATGACAAGCTCCTAGATAGAAAGGTGGGAGAAAGAGTAATATTTCTAGGTTTTATGGCTTGCTCTGGGGAAAAGGAGTTCTAGTTTCTATGGTCCACCATGGAGAAGAGTAATTCTGGTTTCTGACCTACTTTGGGGAACAAACAGGGGAAAGAGACAGGAGGACAGGGGAAGGTCAGAAAGACTTTGGTTCTGAGGCTTCTTCTGAGGCCTTCCAATGTCCTTTTGTTCAAAGTACTCGTCATGACAAAGTGCCATACTTTGGGGCGTCATTTTCTAAGCCCCAACAGAGACATCAGTATGAACTCATATTTAGTTTAATATAATGAATAAATTTAGAAATAAATGTGGTTTGCTCTGTATACAGGGTACAGAAATATATACTTAGTTCTTTTGATAAAAGAGCCTAGAGGAAGTGAAACAGCAGTAACAGCAAGCACACCCTGTGTCCAGATGTTGGCTTGTAAACACCATTCTCTATCAAAATAAAGAAGCCTCTTTGTAGAAGTAGTGGACTCTGTGACAGTGGTAGGAAAAATACAAGATGAGCTTACAGCATCATGTAATGCCCTAGAGTAAGGACATATTCTAAATAAAATAAAAACAAAACACAAAGGGTGAACAATGTCAAAGGAACATAAGGGCCTTCTGAAAGAGCTTCAAAGGATGAAAGTGGAAACATTTAGACCAAAAAAAAATAAAACAAAAACCTAGTATTGCCTTATAATCCAGTATAAAGTAAACAAACCAGAACACGCTAATATAAATGATGATTATAAACAAATAAATGAGAAAGGAGACAAATCTTGCTTACAGAAAAACTCCAAATAAGTTGTTTAAACACTGATCTCAGCAAGAGGTGGAGCTTAATTCCCACACACCAGCAGTGTGAGCTGGAATTAATGATTTGTTTCTAAAGAATAGAGCAGAGAAAGGGGGAACAAAAAGTAACTCTATGAGAGATAATTAAGCAAACTTTACCTAACATCTGCGATCATGTTAAACGCATCACTGATAAGTCATGTTGATAGCATGTGTCCATGATATGATGTGCTAGAAGAGAAATTTTATCACTGATGTTACTTGAAAAACAGCACAGCCCCAGGAAAATAATGAGAAAACCTCAGAAAAACATAATTTCCATTTCAGACATTCTATGAAATGTCTCACCAGCACTCCCTCAAAACACAGGGAAAGATGGACAATCTGCCATAACTAGAAGAGATTAAGGAAACCTGACAACTAAATGCAAGAAGAGGAAAAGAGTGGAAAAATGAATGAGATTGGAGTAAGTTCTGAATTGTAGAAAGTAATAGTGCGTCTATCTTTTTTTTTTGTAGTTTTGACAAATGTACCATCATAAGATAAGATTATGACACAGGAGAAATCAGGCAAGTGTTTGTATTAGATTTGTAGGAAGCTTCAAACAACAGGTATTTATTCTTTCACAGTTTGGAAGCCAGAAGTGCCAAATCAGTGACCCTGGACTGAAATCAGCACAGTAGCAAGGCCTGCTTGCTTCGTAAACTATAAGTGAGAATTTTATTTCTTGCCTCTTCCATCTGATGGTGGCTGCAGGTATTCCAAGTCTTGTGGTCACATCACTTTAGTCTCTGCTTTCATGGTCACTTTGCCGACTCCTCTTTTGTCTGTCATCACATCTCTCTGTCTTCTTCTGATAGTGACATATGTGGCCCTTTAGGGCTCACACAGATAATCCACAATACTATCTCCATCTTAATCACCTCTACATAGTCCTTTTAGGCAATATAAGGTAACATCGAAAGGTTCCAGGAATCAGGATGCATAAAGATTGTGCATTATAACAGCCTATTGAATTTATGTTATGTTTGCTACTGACACATATTGTCATGTTTATATTCTACTACATGGATGTTTAGAATCATTTCAGTCAATTCTATAATTTATGTGTATGAAGTAATTTTCAAATGTAATCAGATGTTAAACCTTAAATAATTTCACACTTAATGTATTTTTATGATTTACTAAGTAGTATTTATTTGATATATTATTTTCTACTTAATGAGACATCACATCTAAGTAAAAATTATGAGATGGCTTCAAATGAGCTACTTGATGATAGAATTTTCAGGAAACGATTGTGTCTAAAAGTTAGAGAAAAAGTGCTTAGAATATAGGTAAAAATGTTTTGCAAAGAAATTATCTGTGTCTTTTGAAATGAACTATATGTCTGAATAGTAGGCTTATAAAATAGATAGTTTGCTATAATCATGAATGGTTCAAAGGTTCAACATATTGATACAATTAGACTCAAAGCTTAATTATTTTATCCATTCATTTAACAAATACTTATTGAGAATCTCCTAGGAAACACACTCATTTAGGTACTAAAGATCTCATAAAAAAACAAAAAATTCACTGCTTTAATGAAGTTTGCCTTCTAGTTGGATAGTAGGATATATAGTAAACAAGAGAATAAATATACAGGAGAGTGTGAGTAAAAACGAGGAAGGATAACATGAGATGAGGGGCAGTGTACATGGGGTGGGGAGAGGGATTATTTTATAAAGGTGGTGAAGGAAAGACTCTATGACTGGGTCACATTTAAGAAAAGACCTGAATGGAGTGAGGAAATATTATGCATGGAGAGTAGCAAGTGCACAGGCCCTGAGGTTGGAGCAGGCTTGGAGTTGTGAAAAACAGCAAGGAGAGCAGGCTGGACGAAATGGAGTAAAACACAGGTGAAGCAGCAAAAGGTGATGTATGTCAACTAAACTAAGAATGAAGGAGCAGAATTAACAATTTCAAAGCATTTGCAGAAAGAAAAATGTACATTTTTTTCTCAGTACATTTTTAAACACTTTAAAAGTTGGTAGCAATATACAAAGAAATGCTTTTATTTTTACTCAATTTTTCTGGTACTCTAGTTATTTTATCCTTTTAAAATTTAAAACATGAACATGTTGCTTCTATAAATCAGCAATGACACAAATATTAATTCATATGAGATGCTATATTTACATATTCTTGATAAAATGTGCCAAGGAAAAGCATATACTTTCATTTAATAATATGTTTTCTTTTAAGCAAAATGAGGACTCCTGGAACAGTATTCAGTGAAATAAATTTAAAAGCATTAGGCTCAACTTTATATTCTACTCCCCAAATTAAGTATTTAAATTATTTTTACTAAATATTAGTGTATTACTCAGGGTTCTACAGAGAAACAGAACCAATAGATAGATAGATAGATAGATAGATAGATAGATAGATAGATAGATAGATAGATAGATAGATACATAGATAGATAGATAGATAGATAGATAGATAGATAGATAGATAGATAGATAGATAGATAAAAGGAGATTTACTATGGGAACTGGCTCATGTGAATATGCAGGTTGAGAAGTCTCACAATATACTGTCTGCAGACTGGAGAACCAGGAAGGCCAGTAGAGTAATTTGGAGTTTGAAGATCTGAGAAAGGTCAGCACAGGGTTGTGGAACTTGTTTAAGGCCTGGAGGCCAAAGGCCCAAGAAACCAGGAACTCAAATGTCTAAGAACAAGAGAAGATGAATGTCCCAGCTCAAGAAGAGACATAATTCATCCTTCCTCCACCTTTTCGTTCTTTTCAGGTGAGCCCTCAGTAGATTGAATGATGGACACCCACACTGGGGAGGGCAGATCTTCCTTACTCAGTCTCCTGATTCAAATATTAATCTCTTCTGGAAACACTTTCACAGACATATTCAGAATAATGTTTAAGCAGCTATCTGGGCATCCCTTAATCCAGTCAAACTGACGCATAAAATTAACCATCAGAACTTGCCACATTACATTTAATCTGGGCACATTTTCCACACCTATGGAAAATTTCCCACTTCATGGGAAACCTTCAGGTACTTTTATTAATAGACTTGTTTTTGCTCTGGTTTTATGTATATTTGTATTGACATGTGGTAGATAAAAATGCATGTAGAATAAGTGAATACATTAATATCTTTAAGGTTTTTGGCAAAGATGCCCCAAGATGTCTTAGCCATTCTTGTCCAGGTGTTATGTTTCCGGACATAATGTTTCTTTTTACTTAGACAGTAGACTTTTAAACAGGCACGGCAATCACGTCAGGAATTTAACTTGATTGTGGACCTTAAATGTGATTCAGAACACAGAGAAGATCCGAGAGAAATGAAACTAGGTTATGGTGCACCCTACAATGTTAAACTGACCATCCTAAAGACAATTTTGCCTTCTCAATAACTTTCTTGAATGCACTCTTCACTTCCTTGTTCCTCAGACTGTAGACCAGGGGGTTCAGCATGGGGATGACCATTGTATAGAACACAGATGCCATTTTGTCTGTGTCCATGGAGTGACTAGAGCTGGGTTGTAAGTACATGAAGATAATAGTCCCATAGAAGATGGTGACTGCAATGAAGTGAGAGGCACAGGTGGACAAAGCCTTCTGGTATCCCGAAGCTGAGCGCATCTTTAGGATGGTGATAAAAATGAATATGTAGGATATCAAGATAACCAGGAGAGCTAAAAAGATATTGAAGCTCACAACATAAACAAGAACAAGCTCGCTAACATGTCTATCAGAGCAAGAGAGAACCACGACTGCTGGAATATCACAGAAAAAGTGATGGACTTCATTGGACTTACAGAAAGAGAGACTAAATGTGTCCCCAGTGTGGATGGAGGCATTCAGGAAACCACAGAGGTAGGAGCCTATGGTCAGACGAGCACATACACTTGTTGTCATGGTTGTGGTATAATGCAGGGGTTTGCACACTGCCACATAGCGGTCATAGGCCATTGAGGCCAAGAGGTAATTTTCCACAGTGGCAAAAGCTACAAAAATATACATTTGAGCAGCACATGCATTGTAGGAGATGACCTTGTCTTCTATAAGGAATCCAGCCATGACGGTGGGAGTGACAGATGAAGAGTAGCAAAAGTCCACTAGAGACAAGTTACTGAGAAAAAAGTACATGGGATTGTGGAGACAGGAATCCCAGAATATCACTACAATAATTCCCAGGTTTCCAACCAGAGTGATAATATAGATGAAGAGGAACATTATAAAGAGGGGAACCTGCAGTTCTGAGTCATTGGTTAGTCCTAGAAGAATGAACTGTGTTACTTCTGTCTTATTTTCCATCATTGCTCTGGGGGACTCACAGGATGCTTGTAGCAATACAAAAAGGAACAATGTGATAAATAAATTGAATTAAAATTGAAAAGTATAAGTACAATATGTATTCCTTCATTGTAGCAATAACTTGTACTTCAAGATTCCCTAGAAAAAACGTGGCCTTGACAACCAAAGGTAGTGCATTAATTATACAGAATTACATACTGTTGAAACTGAAGAATCTTAATAGATTATTTGCACAATTTTTAGATATTATAAATTTGTAAACTCATATGTAGAAAATTTACTAACCTGATCAAGATGACTCGTCTAGATGCATCTGTCTGTCAATTCACCTTTCCTGAGCACGGTAAAAGCTGACGCATGTTGCTAATTTGCCAAGAACTTGTCTAGACATTTTAGATATATATTCATTATTTCCTTGCAACGATATTATGTATTTGATTAGTTGTTGCATTCATTTAAATTATGAAGCACAGGAGGTTGAGTAACATATTCATATTTATACAAGTATTAAATGGCAAGCCATGCTTTCGATCCATGCCAACTTTTGAACCCATGCTGAATGGTTCCTAAGTCTAATGGTCTAAACTGAATTTAAATCAAATTGAATACAACTCAATTTACAATCACTTATTGTCTTCTTTCGTACAAACTCAGTGTTTTGGGTTTTACAATGAAGTAAGCCAGTAATATACGCATAGTGAAAGTGATGGGATAACTGGGTTGTTAGGGGCATGTTCAACTAGCAGAAACAATTCTGAGAGAAGCCTATCATCAGATACGGCAGATACAGAGCTTGAGTTCTTGGAAGAGAGGCATGTCAGTCCACCACTTACCACCTGGGGACCACTGGTTCTAATCTAATTCCCTTAAACATCACATTTTCTTCTGTAAAACTAAAACAGTAATGTGACCTACTTTGAGGTAGTATCGTGAGAATTAAATAAGATAATCTATTAAAAATGCTAGATGTTAAGCACAGCCTAATGAGTGCTAGTTATAATATTAAATACTATTAGGATGGGTGATAATCTTTTTGTTGGTTTTATGAAAGTGGATGGTGACAAGCAGGGCTGCAGGCATGGGTGAGTTTTGAAATATTGAAGCTCCCATCTCCAATTTTCTTTTCCTCCATACTAGGACCACTGAGATTTTCTGTGTTTCTTTCAGGTTGTTCTTCCTCCAAGCAAATGATTGTCTGCTCTGGAAAATTCACGCAAGCCTTTCTTTTTCTTAATTTCTCCCTTGAAATCCACATTTTAGTGTGGGTAAAAAAGTTTCTTTTTCCTAAAGCCATTCTTTCTCTTATTACTGTTATTCCATAGTTAAAGATTAAGGGTTAAAATTTCCTACTTTATGGGCTATCTTTATTTAGCTCACAGATCTGATTTGGTGGCAAGTTCCATGTGATAAAATATTTTTTTTGAATGTATTCTTGATTAGGAACAATATTTTATTATTTATTTATTTATGTTGTTTTTAAATTTCAATGCTCATTTTAGATACAAGGGTTACACGTACAGATTTGTTACGTGGGAATATTGCATAATGCTGAGGTTTGGAGTATGGATACTGTCACCCTGGTGGTGAGCATACCATCTGATAGGTAGTTCTTAAGCCCACCCTCTCTTTCTCCATTAGTCCACAGTGTCTATTGTTCCCATATTTAGGTCCATGTGTTCTCATCATTTAGCCCTCACTTATTAGTGAGGACGTGAGGTATTTGGTTTTCTGTTATTGTGTTACTTTGCTTAAGATTATGGCCTCCAGATTCATCCACATTGCTGCAAAGGATGTGATTTCATTTTTTATGGCTGTGTAGTATTCCAAAAATCTGGTGTACAGATTTCTTCAAAAACTTAAAACAGAGCTACTATTTGACCCAGTATACACCCAAAAAGTAATAAGTCATTTACTAAAAAGACAAATACATATGGTCAACCTAAATGCCCATCAATGATAGATTGGATAAAGAAATGTGGTACATATACACCACAGAATATTATACAGCCATAAAAAAGAATGAGATCATCTCCTTTGCAGGGACATAGATGGATCTGGAAGCCATTATCCTCAGCAAACTAATGTGGAAACAGAAAATCAAATACTGCATGCTCTCACTTTTAAGTGGGAGCTGAATGATGAAAAAGACATGGACACATGGTAGAGAACAACACACACTGGGGTCTGTCAAAGGGTGGTGGGTAGAAGGAGGGAAAGCATCAGGAAGAAAAGCTAATGGATGCTGGGCTTAATACCTAGGTGATGGGATGATCTGTACAGCTAATCACCATGGCACATCTTTAGCTATGTAACAAACCTGCACATCCTGCATGTGTACCCCTGAACTTTAAAGTTGGACACTTTTTTAAAAAAGACACATGTACCTATAAGATCATCAGCACACTATTCACAACAACAAATGTATAGAATCAACCCTGGTGCCCATCAGTGGTAGACTGGATAAAGAAGTTGCGGTACATATACACCATGGAATATTACACAGCCATGAAAATAAGAATGAAATCAGGAACAATACTTTAAATCTTTGTATTTGGATTGGGGTCTTTAGAAGGGTATCCAACCAATACTAACTACTGTTTCCTACTGTCTTTCTCTGAAACACTTGGCAACTTCACTTCCCAAGCCTGAGGTATGAAGATGTTATGTTGCTAACTTTAACATACATCACTGCTTTTAGCATACACTATGTTCTACCAATAATAAAAACTTTATATATAAATGATGTGTGTGTGTGTGTGTGTATGTGTGTGTGAGTGAGAGAGAGAGAGAGAGTTAGGTATTATTATTGTTATTATTACTTTATCATTAAGAACATTGAGAATTTGAGAAGTGATGTGATGCTCCAAAATTATATGGCTAGTTTGAGAGTCAAGATTCAAGAGTTAAATCCATCTTCAATCTAAAGTCAAAACTTTCAGCCACATCACTGTCAACATATGTAGATGTGCTAATAATAGTAAGAATGAGATTATTAAAAAAAGTTAAAACACAAGTCATAGCTTGTTAATTCATTTAACACCCTTTTGTAGTTTAAAGAATGAACATTTCACCCTTTTTTGTTTGTTTTTGTTTTTTTACCACTCATGAGAAGCCAATACATAACGAACAGATAAAATTACCACCTAGTCAATCAGAGTATCATCTATCTTATCTTTTGTTCATATCTTTGGAGGAAGAAGCGTGTTTCATAAGAACCACTAAATTTCCTATAATGGAACATTTATGCCCTACGCCCACCTCAGTATTTTAGAAAAAAATGTTGAAAACACCTATTTCTGCCCTCAAATAACTTATAGTAGGTGTAACTGCCCCACTGCTTTTGCATGAGTTATACTTCTCTCTAAAATGTTTCTTAGATATAGAAGCTTACCTTACAGCTGGATGAGCAGAAACAGTCAACACAGAATAGTTTGTCTGTAATCAGAAAATCAGCCATGGAATATTGCACTAATATGTTTGGAGAATCATTCTTGCTTTCAGGTACTGGTCAACAGGTTTCAAGGTCTCCAGGCATGGAAAAATAAAGGGAAGAGCATTAAGATGGAACAAGTCCTGAATCTCCTATTAATTCTTTCTGGGAACTTAAAGGAGTTACTTATCTTCCCCTTTCTCGAGAAAATAAACATGTTAAGATTACCTCTCTCACATAATTCACAGAATTGCATCTGTAAATAACAAGTAAGTGAGGGCTGTAAAACATCTTGCTAAGGGGTCATCGTGTAAAAGTCAGTCAATGTAATTTTTAACTTGGGATGTTTTCCCTGAGCAGGGTTGAAGGTTCATAGCAAAGCCTCAGGTCAGAAGGCATGCATGAACTAAAAACAATTATCCTTTAGATGAATAAATGATGATCCATGGAGCTTTGTACACAGTGTGGTCTCTCTAAAACTACATCATGTTGGGAGTCATGTTGGGATTTCATATGGTAATATATGGAGATATGAGGAGAATTATAAGGGCATGGAGATCTCTGGAGATGTTCCCTGTGAGAGGATCTACAGCTCCTCATTCTACTTTCCTGGTGAAGAAGCAATTAAAGCTGCCAGTGGGGATCAAGCTTATTATTTTTAATATACCCACATAATTTGTGTGCATATTAAATTTGTTATTTCTTTTTTCACTCGCTAATGAATGCATAATTTACATACAGTAATACCCAGTATTAATACACACTGTACTGTATAGTTCTAAGAATTTTGTCAAATATATGGTCACATAATGACTACAACAATTACATTAAAAACATTTTCTAAGCCTACTTTTTGGTAACCTCCTTTCCCACCCACTATCCTGGCAACAAGTAAATTGTTTTTGTCCAAATAATTTTGCTTTTGCTAGAATGTCTTTAAATATAATCCTAGAATATGTAGTCTTTGAGTCTGGCATCTTTCACTTTCACTTAGCAATTGAAACCCATATATATTGTTGCCTATGTCAGCGTTAAATCTTTTTTATTATAGAAGAATATTGCATTATGTGGACATTATAGATTGTTTTTCTCATTGTGCAACTGAGGAACATTTGTACTGGTTTTAGAGTTTGGTGAGTAGAAATAAAGCTGATCTAAGCATTTCATTAAAGATTTCTGGGCGAGGCACTGTAGCTCATGCCTGTAATCCTAGCACTTTGGGAGGCTGAGGTGGGTGGATCACTTGAGGCAAGAAGTTTAAGACCAGCCTGGTCAACATGGTGAAGCTCAGTCTTTACTAAAAATACAAAAATTAGCCAGGCATGGTGGTAGGCACCTGTAATCCCAGCTCCTCAGGAGGCTGAGGCAGGAGAATTGCTTGAACCTGGGAGGCAGAGGCGGAGGCTGCAGTGAGCCAAGATTGTGCCTCTGTACGCCAGCCTGGGTGACAGAGTGAGAGTCTGTCTCAAAAAAAAAAAGATTTCTGAGGTGAACATAGATTTTCATTTCATTTGAATAAATATTGATGAGTCAGACTGAATTGTTGCATGGTAGGCACATGTTTATCTGAATAAGAAACTGTCAACATCTTTTCTGAAGATACTCTATTATTTTGAATTCCTTCTAGCAGTCCATTCAAATTGTCTCACCTCTGTGTCAGCATTTTATATTTAAAAATTTTGTAATTTAATTTTCTTTTTTTGCTTCTTTTTGTTTTTCTCTAAGACATCTCCTTAAGAATTTTCTTAACACTTACCTACCTTATCACCACAGTTCTGGCCTGGGGATGCTTTTCTTTTCCAACAAAGGAGACAGATTCATCCTTTTGCATGGATTCATCGTTTGCACTGTTGCTTCTGAGCCCACGCTACACTCCCAAGCAGACTTATCACATCTCTCTTAGTACAAGCGAGTGTCATGGTTAAACATTTGTTCTGTGCACCATGGTTGCTTCACCTCAAATTTGAGTAAGAAAAGTAGCCTTTCCAATTTCAGCTTCCTTCTGTAAGAAAGAAAATATTATCTTGTCATTCACATAAGATTTTCAAAAAGATAATCACATGACATATTTATAGAGCACAGCACACTTTCTACCACATATCAGGTGTTCAATAGGTTAAATATTAATATTTATTATTTATAATATTTTCCATAGATAGGTCACAAAAATAGTGGTACACAAACAATCCACCTGCTTTTCTACATGTGTATGCCCCATTCCAGCTAGGCAGGACATGTAATAGTTCTAGATAATGAACTATAGAAAAAATTATAATGTTGGTTGAAACATACATACTATTCTCCAGTTATCTCATCTCCTGCTATGATAATCAAAAGGCTTAATGTTCCAGCAGGTGCAGAAACAGATGATGATACCTTCATCAGCAGGTGTCTTTGAGTGACCACATACAGCTTTTCACTTAGCCAGACAACCTGTATGACAGACATGCAGTAGCATAAGTAAGAAATAAATCTGTAGGATGCTGAATATTTATCTTCCAAAATATCAGATTCTAATACTTGGAATTGGTAAATTATACCTTATATGACAATTGCTTTGCAGTTATGATCAAATTAAGGATAGTGAGATGGAGATTAATCTAAATTATTCAGTGGGCTATAAATGTAGTTACCAGTTCCTTCTAAGATGGGGGCAGGAAAAATGATAGATTAGAATATTTTAAGGGCCTGTTACTCCACAGAAACACAAAAAAGCAAGCAAAAACTGGCACAATCAACTTTGTTTGAACTCTGGAAAATAGTCAAGGATCTACAGAAACAAAGAGAATGATGATTCAAGAAAAAGGTGACCTCACATGACATTTTTAGGAAGTATCTGTTAAACCGCTATGTGACCACAAGTAAAGAAACAAAGACATCAGAGGCCACATATGATAATAAATATATTCTTTCAAATATTTTAATAAAACTCACTAAATAAACAACTGCACTCAGAGCAAGCAAAAACAAATGAAATTGGGGGTAGGAGGGGAGATAATTTGACTTCCAGAATTACCATACTATAATTTTAAAAATATCAAACTTTCAACCAAAAATAAGAGACATATGAAGGATCAAGAAACCATTTCCAATTTACAAGAAAACTGAAATTGTCCTGAGGAAGCATAAGCGTTATACCTAGAAGACAAAAATCTTAAATCAATTGCCTTAAATGGGCTCAAAGGGATTAAGGGGAAAAATTGACAAGGAACTAAAGAAAACTAGGACAATAGTGTTTCAATACATAGTAAATATCAATTAAAAATACAAATTACTTTTAAAAAATCAGAATTTCTGGAGCTGAAAATTACAATGAGTGAAATAAAAATTCACCAGAGGGTTTTAACAATATTTGACAAAAGAAGAAAAAAAATCAGTGGATTTCTTTCCTTCCTTCCTCCCTCCCTCTCCCCCTCCTTCTCTCCCTCCCTCCCTCCCTCTGTCCCTTCTTCTCTTCCTTCCTTCCTTCCTTTCTTTCTTCCTTCCTTCCTTCTTTTCTTCCTTCTTTCTTTTTGAGACAAAGTCTTACTCTGTCACCCATGCTGTAGTGCAGTGGTGTAATCATGGCGCACTACAGTCTCCACCTCTTGGCTCTAAATGATCCTCCTGCCTCAGCCTCCCAAGTAGCTGGGGCCACAGGCATGCACCAATACACCTGGATACATTTTCTTTTTTGTTTGTTTGTTTTTGAGTCAAGATTTTGTCATGTTGTCCAGGCTGGTTTCGAACTTCTGAGCTCAAGTGATCCATCTGCCTCAGACTCCCAAAGTACTGGTATTATAGACATGAGCCACCATGTCTGGCCAAATCAATGAATTTCTAGACATGTCAATTAAAGCAATCCGGGCTCAGGAGAAGAAAGGAAAATAGAAAGAAGACAAAATGGAAAGAGCTTGAGACCTCTTGCATGCCATCAAGTATACCAACGTGAGCACAAATAGAGTGCAAGAATGAGAGGTCAAATAAGGAAAAGTTGGTAAGAAATATTTGAAGAACTATGGCCACTAACCTCCCAAACTTCCCAAACTTGATTAACTTCCTATATAGGTGAAAGTTTAGAGAGGTGTTTGGGTCATGAAGCTCTCATGAATGGGTAGATCCCTTCATAGGATAATAGATTAATGAATTCATGGGTTAATGTATTAATTAGTTTTCATGGGACTTGGACTTGTGGCTTTATAAAAAGAGGAGATCTGAGCTAGCATGCTCAGTCCTCTCACCATATGATGCCCTGTGCTGCTACGAGACTTTGCAGGGAGTCCCCACCAGCAAGAAGGCCCTCACCAGATGTGGCCCCTCAACCTTGGACTGTTTATTCTCTAAAACTGTGAGAAATAAATTTATTTTTAAAAATAAACTATCTAGTTTTAGGCATCCTGTTATAAGCAATATTAAATGAACCAAGGCAATTAATGATGTTGAACAACTTTTCATATCCCTGTTGACCTTTTGTATGCCTTCTTTGGAAAAATAGTTATTCAAGACTTTTACCTATTTTTAAATAGAATTAAGTTTTACTATTGATTTGTAGGAATTCCTTATACATTTTATTTTTTCAGATGGGGGTCTCATTCTGTCACCTGGCTGAAGTGCAGTGGCACAATCATGGCTCACTGCAGCCTCAGCATCCTGGCTTCAAATGATCCTTCCACCTCAGCCTCCTGAGTAGCTGGGACTATAGGCATGCACCACCATACCTGGCTAATTTTTAAAACTTTTTGTAGAAATGGTGTCTCACCATATTGCTCAGGCTGGTCTCAAATTCCTGGCCTCAAGCTACCCTTCTGCTTTGGTCTCACAAATGTGAGCTACTATGCCCAGCCCTCCTTATACACTTTAAATAGTAACACTTACCAAATGTAATGTTGGTAAATATTGTATCCTATTCTGTAAGTTGCCTTTCTATGTTTTTGATGGTTTCCATCACTATGCAGAAACAGTTTGTTGTAGTTCCACTTATTTTAGCTTTTGTTGCTTGTGCATTTGGTGTCATATTCAAGATATCATAGCCAAGGTTAATGACAAAAAGTTTATTCCTTAGTTTTTTTTTCTAGGGGTTTCAAGATTCAAGTATATGCTTAATTTTGCATCTATTTGAATTTATTTTTGTGTATGGTATAAGATAAAGATTTGTTTGAGTAAAATATTTTGCAAAGATCCTACTTTTGCATGTAGATATGCAGATTTCCCAATACTATTTCTTGGAGAGACTTTCCTTTTCTCATTATGTATCCTGGGCTCCCTTGTCTTCCATATGTCTATCTTTATAGAAATATAATGCTGTTTTCTTTACTGTAGTCTTTGTAATATATTCTGAAATCAGAACTGTAATGTCTCCAGCTTTTTTCTTCTTTGTTGGGATTGTCTTGGCTATTTAGAGTCTTCTGTGGTTTCATATTAATTTTAAGACTATTTTTCCATTTCTGTAAAAAGATGCCATTGGAAATTTCAAGGCGGTCGCATTGAATCTGTAGTTTGCAGTTCATAGTATGAGCATTTTAACATCATTAATTCTTCCAATTCATGAACACAGATATCTTCCAATTTATTTGAGTCTTCTTCAATTTCTTTCACCATTTCTTGTTATGTTTTAAGTGTATGTCTTTCACCTTCTTGGTTAACTTTATTTCTAAGTATTTCATCGTTTTTCGTGTTGTTGTAAATAGGATTTTTTAAACTTTTTTTCAGGTAGATTATTGTTAGTGTATAGATACGCAACTGATTTTTGTGTGTTGATATTGTATCCTGCAGCTGTACTAAATTCATTAGTTCCAACAGGTGTTTCCTAGTAGTTTTTAAGATTTTCTGCATATAAGATGACATCTTCCATGAACAGAGACAGTTTTGCCTATTTCAGTGTCTTTTATTTCTTTCTCTTACCTAATTGTTCTGGTTAGGACTTTCAGTACTATGGCCAATAGGAGTGGTATGAGTGGGCATCCTTGTCTTGTTTCTGATCTTAAAGGAAAAATCTTTCAATTTTTAACCTTTGAGTATGATACTAGCTGTGGGCTTTTTATACAGGCTTTATTATGTTAGAGTACATTTCTTCTATATCTAGCCTGGTTAGAGTTTTTATTATTGAAAGGTGTTAAATTTCATTGAATACTTTTCTGCAACTATTCAGATGATCTTGTGATATTTATCATTCATTCTGTTAATGTTGTCTTTCATATTAATTGATTTAAACCATGCTTTCACCCTAGAGGTAAATTCCACCTGATTATGGTGTATGATTATTTTATTGTGCTATTGTGTTAGATTTACTAGTATTTTGTTCAGGAATTATTACCTACAGTCATCAGAAATATTGTCTGTAATTTCCATTTCTTCTGGTACATTTTCCTTGTTTTGAATATGAGAATAATGCTAGCCACATAAATTTAGTTTAAAAATGTTCTTTTTTCTTCAGTTATTTGGAAGAGTGTGATAATAATTAACCTTTCCTCTTTTTAAAAATGTGTGGTAAATTTCACCAGAGAAGTTATCTGGTTCTGGGATTTAATTTGGGGGAGGTTTTTGATTACTGATTCAATCTCTTTACTCATTATTGGTCTGTCCAGACTTCGTATTTTTTTGTGATTTGGTCTTGGTATGTTTTATGAATCTAGGAATTTATTCATTTCTTCTTGGTTATCCAGTCTTGGTAAAAAATTGTTAATAGTAGTCTTTTATAACCTTTTTTACTTTGGTGGCATCAGTTATAATTTCACATCTTTCATTTTTTAAAAAATTGAATCAAAATTTCTCTTTTCTGCTTTAAGTCTAGCTAAGCATTTGTCAATTTTATCTTTTCAAAAAACTAACTCTTACTTTCACTGATTTTTCTATTAGTTTTCTATTTTTTAGTTTTTTTCTGCTCTCATATTTATTTTTTCCTTCTTTCTTCTAATTTTTAATTTAATTTGTTCCAGTTCTTTGAAGTGTACAGTTAGATTGTTTATTTGAGATCTTTCTTCTTTAATGTAGCCATTTATTGTTATAAACTTCCTTCTTAGTACTGTTTTTGCTACATCCCATCAGCTTTGGTATGTTGTGTTTTTATTTTCATTTGTCTCAAGATATATTCTTTTTTATTATTTTATTTTATTTTTAATTAAAAAACAATAATCATATATATTTAAGGGGTAAAGAGTATTTCAATATATGTGTATACTGTGGAATAATCAAATTGGAATAATCAAATCAGAATAATCAGCAAACCAATAAAATCAGAGATGAAAAAGAAGACATTACAACTGATACTAAAGAAATGCAAAGGATGGTAAGAAACTGTTGTAGACAATTATATCCCAACAAATTGGATAGAATTTATAGATAAATTCCTGGACATATAAAACCTATTAAGATTGAATTTAAAAAACAGAATATCTGAACAGACCAACAACGAGTATTTGAAACTGAGTCAGTAATAAAGTCTTTAATCAAAGAAAAGTGCCGGACCTCATGGCTTCACTGCTGAATTCTACAAAAAAAAATTAAGTTCTTTAGAATTTTTCACAAACTATAGAAAATAATTGAAAAGAATGGAACACCTCCAAACTCATGCTACGAGGTGATAATTACCCTAAAACCAAAACCAGACCAAGACACAGAAAGAAAGAGAGCTACAGGTCAATATTCCTGATGAGTGCAGATGCAAAAATAGTCAACAAAATGCTAGCAATTGAAACTCAACAGCACATTAAAAAGATCATTCACCATGATCAAGTGGGATTTATACCAGGGATGCAAGGATGGTTTAACACATGCAAATCAATAAATGTGATACATCACATTAGCAAAGAAAGGATAAAAACATGACTATTTCAATATATGCAGAAAAAGCATTTGACAAAATTCAATCCCTTCATGATAAAACCTCAACAAATCAGGTATAGAAGGACTATAACCTTCATATAATAAAGGCAATATACAATAAATCCACAGCCAACATTGTATTGAATGAGAAAGAGTTGAAAGCTCTTCCTCTAAATTCTCAAACAAGACAAGGATGCCCACTTTCACCACCACCATTCAGCATAGTACTGGAAGTTTTAGCAAGAATAATTAGGTAGGAGAAAGGACAAAATGTAGTGAAATTAGAAAGGAGGTAGTCAAATTGTTCCTGTATGCAGATGACATTATCTTATATGCAGGAAATCCTAAAGACTCCACCAAAAAACTGTTAGAACTAATAAACAAATACAGTAAAATTGCAAGATAAAAAGACAACATACAAAAATTAGTAATGTTTCCATACATCAGTATCAAACTGTCTGAGAGAAATAAAGAAAGCAATCCCACTTACAATAGTTACAAAAAATAATAAAATACCTAGCAATAAATTTATCCAAGGAGGTAAAGTATATCTACAAGGAAAACTACAAAACAGTGATGAGAGAAATTGTAGCTAACACAAATGGAAAAACACACCATGCTTATGGGTTGAAAAAATTAATATCATCTATTAAAATGATTATAGTGCTCAGAGCAGTCTACAGTTTCAATGCAATCCCTATCAAAACACCAATGTTATTTTTCAGAGTTAGAAAAAAGCAATTCAAAAATTCATATGGAACCACAAAATACCCTAAATAGCCAAATCAATCTTATGCAAAAAAAGAGAAAGCTGGAGGCTTTACACTATCTGACCTTGAAATGTGCTATAAAGCTATAGTAACCAAAACAGCATGGTATTGGTATAAAAACAGACACACAGACCAACAGAACAAAATAGAGAGTCCAAAAATAAATGCAGGAATTTACAGCCAATTGATTTTCAATAAAGGAATCAAGAGCACTTAATGGAGTAAAAACAGCTTCTTCAATAATTGGTACTGGGAAAACTAGATATCCACATGAAAAACAATAAAACTAGACTATCTCTCACCATATACAAAAATTAACTCTAAATGAATTAAGGACTTCAATGTAATACCCAAAATTATAAAACTACTAGAAGAAAACATAGGAAAATGTTTCATGACATTGGTCCACACAAGGATTTTTTTAGAGAAGACCCCAAAAGCAGCAATAACAAAAGCAAAAATAAATAAATGGGACCACATCAAACTAAAAAGCTTTGGCACAGCAAAGGAAACAATCAGCAGAGAAAAGAGATAACATACAGAATGAGAAAAAATATTTGAAAAGTACACATTTGACAAGAAGTTGATATCCAGAGAAATGTAAATCAAAACCACAATGAGATATCACCTTGCCCCAGTTTTAAAATAGCTATTAACAAAAAGATTAAATATAACAAATGTGGCAAAGATGTGGAGAAAGGGGAACTCTTACTGTTGGTGGGAATATAAGCTAGTAGAGTCATTATGGAAAACAGTATGGAGGTTCCTCAAAAAATTAAAAATAGAACTACTACATGACCCAGCAATCCAGCTACTGGGCATATATCCAAAGGAAATCAAATCAGTGTGTTAAAAAAATTCTGGACTCCAGTGTTTATTGCAGCACTATTTATAATAGACAACATATGGAATCAACCTAAATGCCCATCAACAGATGAATGGATAAAGATACTGCCGTATACATACACAATAGAACACTATTCAGCCTTATAAAAGATGAAATCTTGTCATTTTCAATAACATGGATGAATCTGGAGTACATTATATTAAGCGAAATGTTGGGCACAGAAAGACAAATACTGCGCCATCGCACTTATATATAGAATCTAAAAAAGCTGATCCCAGAGAAGTTGAAAGTAGAATACTGGTTAGCAGCAACTTGGGAGAACAGTGGAGAGGAAGAGATGGTGAAAGGTTTGTCAGCAGGTACAATCTTACAATTAGATAAGAATTAGTTCTGGTACTCTATTGTGCAGTAGGGTGAGTCTAGCTAACAAAAATGCATTATATATTTTCAAATATCTAAAAGAGGGGATTTTGAACATTCTTACAACAAAGAAATGATAACTGTTTAAGGTGATTCATATGCTAATTTTCATCAACGTACAATGTATACATTTGTCAAAATACCACATTGTGCCCCATAAATATGTACAATTATTATGTTTCAATAAAAGGAAGAATATCCTGCTGTATTTGACAAGATGGATGATCCTGGAGGACAATATGCTAAGTGAAATAAGCGAGTCATAGAAGGACAAAATACTGCATGATTCAACTTACATAAGGTATCTAAAATAGACTTACAGAAAAAGAGAGTAGAATAGTGGCTGTCAGGGGCTGTGGTGGGAGTGGGGGAAATAGGGGGCTGAGTTATGGTTAAATGGGTATAAAGTTTCAGTTATAAAAAATGAATACATTTTAGAGACCTGCTTACAACAGAGTGCCTATAATTAACAATACTCTATTGTACACTTAAAAATAGTTAAAAGAGTAGATCTTATAATAAGTGTTCTTATCACAATTAAAAGAAAAAAAGCCATGATGTTGAAATAAAGACTAATGGACATGGGAGATAATAATTTTAGATGTAGAGTTAAATTGGGCTCTCTGAGTATACAATATTTAAAATGACATGTAAGGAAAGAACATGGTAGGCAAAGAGGCCAAGATGGACAGCATTCTGCGGTGTGAATGTGCTTCTTGTGTTCAAGAAATAAACAAAGATTAATTTGCTGGATCATAGAGAGCAAGGAGAAATTTGGAAGAAAATGAAAGAAGTGGCAGCAGAGAGGTTAAGCAACTTTTGTAGGCCACAGTTAGAAAATTTACTCTAAGTACAATTAGAATCTAGATTTGGGGCATAAAAGCAAGATTTTAGTTTTATACATGTTATTTTTGAGACATCAGTGAGAAGTTTAATAAAAACCTGGAAATATAAGCATCTCAGGATGGAGCATTAAAGAACACCTATAGTCAGAGTATGAGTACAAGATAAAAAGCCAACAAGGAAAACCAGCAGAACATGCAGCAAAGTTGGAGAAAGAAAATACCAGTTAAACCACACGTGTTTATAGCAGCTTTATTCATAACTGCCAACACTCGGGAAGCAACCAAAATATCCTTCAGTAGGTAGATGAATAAAGTGTGATACCACTTGACAATAGACAATATTCAGTGCTAAAATGAAATGAGCTATCAAGCCATGAAAAGATATGGAGAAAAGAGATGCATATTACTATGTGAAAGAAGCCAATATGGAAAGGTTACATACCATATGATTTCAACTATCTGACATTCTGGAGAAAGCAAAACTGTGGAGACAGAAAAAGATCAGTAGTTGTCAGGGGTAAGGGAAGAAGGAAGAATGAATAAGTAGAGCATAGAAGAGCTTTAGAGCAGTGAAACTACTCAATATGATACTATAATGATAAATACATGTCATTATACATTTGTCCAAATCCATAGAAGGGACAACAGAAAGAGTGAATCCTAATGTAAACTATGGTCTTGGGATGATAATGATGTGTCAATGTAGGTTCATCAACTGTAAAAAAATGTAGCACTCTGTTGGAGGATATCGACAATGAGGGAGGGTATACATATGTGGGGGCAGAAGGTATATGGGAAATCTCTGTACTTACTTCTCCATTTTAATGTGAACATAAAACTATTCTTAAAAAGTCTATTCAAAAATAAATTTATACTATAATACTAAATCAGTTACTTAAGTCCTTTATATAAAAACTAGTCACACTCCACTTACTTCTGAGTAAACTTCTCCTTCTAATGCCTATGTGCCCACAAGGGCATAAACATGTACATTTTTGTGGGCTTGTTGGTGTCCCTGTTTAACAAGTATGTTTGCACTGGAATGTGGTAGAGAAAATGCAAGTGGAACAAGTGAGTGAACCAAATGTCATTAGTAAGGTTTGACCAGCAAGTTCCAAAAATCCTAACATTTCCCTTTAGCCTTCCTTGTTCAGGTGTTACATTTCTGAGAATGTTTTATTTTATTACATAACTGACTTCTAAAGAGGTAAAAATATCACCTCATGAACTTAAATGTATTGTGGGGTTTCAAATGTAACTCATTGCGTGAGGAAGGTCTGAGATGAGTGAAACATTTTTGCGTGTACAAAAGTGTTAAAATTCCAATCTTACAGAAATTTTTGCCTTCTCAACACTTTCTTGAATGCATTCTTGACTTCTCTGTTCCTCAGGCTGTAGACCACAGGGTTCAGCATGGGGATGATCATAGCGTAGAACACGGATGCCATTTTGTCTGTGTCCATGGAGTGGCTGGAGCTGGGCTGCAAGTACATGAAGATGACTGTCCCATAGAAGATGGAGACTGCAGTGAAATGAGAGGCACAGGTGGATAATGCTTTTTTGTGTCCCTTAGCTGAATGCCTCTTCAAGATGGTGATGAATATGAACAAGTAGGAGATAAAGATAACTAGAAGAGCAAAAAAGATATTAAAACTTGACATAAAAACCAGAATCGCCTCACTAATGTGTTTATCAGAGCAAGACAGAGCCATGACTGCTGGAACATCACAGAAAAAGTGATGGACTTCATTGGACTTACAGAAAGAGAGACTGAATATGCCCCCAATGTGGAATGAGGCATTTAGGAAGCCACAGACATATGAGCCTAGGGCCAGATGAGCACATACACTGGCCGTCATGGTGGTGGTGTAGTGTAGGGGTTTGCACACTGCTGCATAGCGGTCATAGGCCATTGAGGCCAACAAGTAATTTTCCACAGTGGCCAAGGCTATAAAGAAGAACATCTGAACAGCACATGCATTGTAGGAGATGACCTTGTCTCCTCTAAGGAACCCAGCCATGACCTTGGGAGTGACAGTTAAGGAGTATCCAAAATCCACCAGAGACAGGTTACTGAGGAAAAAGTACATGGGGGTGTGGAGATAAGAGTCCATCAGGATCAGCATCATCATCCCCACGTTCCCACACAGAGTGAGGAGGTAGACGAAGGTGAACAAGATAAAGAGGGGGACCTGTAGTTCTGGGGCATTAGTTAGTCCTAGAAGTATGAACTTTGTCATTTCTGTACAATTCTCCATCGGTATTATCAGGAATCATAAGATGTCCTGTAGCAATAAGAAATAAAGCAATAGAGTGATAAACAAAAAAGAGATTTAGAAATGTATAAATACTATATGCATTATGTAATTAGAGCAACAATTCATACTTCAAAATTCTATAGATCTAAAGCATAGGCTTAATAACAATCTTTAATGAATTATCTACACAGTTGCAATCTGTTGAATCCAGGGGATCTTTATAAATAACATCCTAATGTTTCCATTTTATAAATTTATAAACTGCTATGTAGTATATTTAATGATGTGTCCAAGATGACGCATCTGGAACTAATTTTTCTGCCAATTCCGTTTTCCCTAATCCAGTAAAACTTATATATTTATGTTGCTCACATACTGGGAACTGCTCTAGGCAATTTGTACGTATATTGATTCCTCTCAACAATATAATGAGGTTGATTAGTTATTGCATTTATTTAATTTGTGAGGCTCACAAGATTAAGTCATTTATTCATATATACACAAGTGTTAATAGTCAAGCCTATCTTCTGGCTCAGGAGAGTTGTTCTCAAGTTCAATGGTCTAAATTGAATCTAAATCAAATTGAATGTGAAGCAATTTACAATTACTCATTGTCTTTGTTGTTGCAACCTTAGGCAGGTTTCACAATGAGGTAACTGAGAGGAAAATGCACATTAACGGTCTCAGGACAGCTGGAGAAGTAGAGAAATGTACAACCAGCAAAGGCAATTCTGAGGGGAAGGCAGCATCAGATATAGAGCTTGGGATTGGGAAGAGGTGCATATCAGCCCTACCATTTACTACTTAGGCAGCATCGGTCCCAGACTAACTTCCCTGAACCTTGTTTATTTTACCTGCAGAATGAAAATATTAATGAGATCAACCTCAAGGCATTATTTTGAAAATTCAATGAAATAATACATTTTTACAACAATAAACAAAATGTTAAATGTTTAGCACAGTCTGATGAGAGCTAACTATAATGTTACTGTTAGAATGGAATGATGATCTCTGTTAGTTTCATAAAGGAGGATGGCAGGGCTTTGTGTGTTGGTAAATTTTGAAGTCTTGTAGCCCCTTCTTCAATTTGTCTTTCCTCACATACTAGGGCTACTGAGATTTTCTGTGCCTCCCAATAATTCTCATTCTGTCTTTTTTCACACAAATGATTGACTGCTCCAGCAATTCCATGTGAACCATTCTTCTGTTTAATTTCTTCTTTGAAACTTACATTTTAGCTCGGTTTCGCAGCATCTCCTTTACTTAAACACATTCTTTTCTTTCATTTTTGCCATCTCTTAGTTGAATGCAGATCCTTATAGTTTAAAATGCATCGTTCGTGGGTTTCCTTTAGTCTGCAGATCTGCAGATCTGTTTTGGTGGCAGGTTCTGAGTTGTAAAATTATTATTTAGATCAGTTCTTGCATATGAATAGTGTTTTAAATTAGAAAGGGCATTCATCCTCTAACTACTATTCATCTGCTAACTACTATTGCCTACTGTCTTTCCACACTGCGTAAGTTTAGCCCTTGAAAGCCTTATGTTTGCCAAACTTAACTCACATAACCACTTTTAGAATATACTATGTTCTACAACAGATGTTAAGAACTTTTTATATAAATGTTTACGTGTGTGTTTGTGTGTGATAAGTATTATTGTTATTACTATTTTACCATTACGAGAATTTGATATTTGAAAAGTTTTGTGATATTCTACAATTATACAACTAGTATGGAGAATAGTCAAGATTCACAACTGAAACCAAGTTCCAACCTAATCAAAATTTGTGCTTTTAGCTACTTCACAACGAGCATTAGATGTACTAGTCATAATAAGGATGAGATTATGGGGGAAAGGTTACAATTCTGTATGCATCTTGCTAACTTACTTAGTTCCTTTTATAGTCTGAAGAGCTGTCAATGCACACTTCTGTTATTTTTGTTTGTTTTACTTCCAGTAGAAGCCTGATAGTGAGTAAGATGAAATTACCACCTACTTAATCAGCACATCATCTATCTTATTTTTTTCATCTTCTTTAGGGAAGCAGTATGATATTTCACAAGTATCACTGAACACCTTACCAATGGAAGTTTTGACATCTCTATACTCCAGCCTCAGCATATGTTTTTATAAAAAGAAATTTAAAGCATCTACTCCTGTTCTAAAATAATATAGTATCTATAGCTGTCCCACTGCTTTTGCATGAATTCCCTGTTTTACTAAATGTACATGTGGAACATAGAAGCTTACCTTGCGCCTGGAAAAAAAGAGATAGTCTATCCTGAATACTAAGTCTAAAGTTGGAAATTCAGTCATGGAATAATGTATAAATACCATTAGAAAAATAATCTGTCTCAGGTAGTGGTCAAAAGCCTCCAAGTTCTCTACGGCAAGGAAAGACAGAATAAAAAAACACTAACATCAATAAACTACATTAAATATAACTGCTATTGTTAGGAATGAGCTCTAACACATAAAGCATTCACTATGTGCAGATTCTCTTTTATGTATTTTGCATACATTAGCTCAAAAAAGTAGAAAGTAAAGGTGTATTGTAGGTGAAAAATAGGATTCCATGTAAGCTTTGATTTTGCTGTGTCTGTATGTGTGTGTGTACATATGCATGCGGTCACCCATTATGGGTCACAATGTAAATCATGTGGATTCCTTATTTTTAAAAATCTAAAGCTTTCAATCAAGAGCCTCTGAATAGCCTGTGCAAAGTTAGGCATGAGACTGTGCTTCAGTAACACAGAACCATGTATTTTTTAATGTGCTCATTGATCATTTGCTGACTCATTTATTTATTCATTTATTCATTTAGATATATTCACTCATTGCCTCAACAAATATTTAGAGTGCCCTTCATTTTCTAAATGCTCTTCTAAGCACATGGATTTTTTGTGTGTATAAGGTTATTTTGTTTTTTGTTTTTTACTTTTAAGTTCAGGGATACATATACAGGCTTGTTACATAGGTATGTTTGCATCATGAGGGTTTGTTGTACATATTATTTCATCACCCAGGTATTAAGCCTGGGACCCATTAGTTATTTTTTCTGATCCTCTCCCTCCTCCTACCCCCCACCCTTCAATAGGCCCCAATGCCTGTTGCCCTCTAAGCATATGAATTTTAAATGATGAGAATAGTGCCATCTTCTATTATTTGAATAAAATCACCATTTTTCTAATTAATGGAGATTGTTGTAACACCTGGACTGTGGCTAAGTAGTGTGAGAGCATGAAAATATTTAAAACTGGATACTAAACTCTGGATGTATTCAATGGGAAAATGTTTTCCCTTGAACTTTTATATAGCACATATTCTATTACTACAACCTAAACAGACCATAGAACTGAGCTAGAAACTTACCTTGCTCTTCAAGGAAGATGACACACTTTCAGTTGGTATCTTCATATTGCAAGTCCTACTCAAAGAAGAAAGAAAAGCTCCTATTTAAGAAGTTGTTATTTAATGTCTAGTCACAAATATTGAAGTTCTCTAGAGGGAGGGAGATTTAAGGAAAAAGTGATGATTAGGTGGAGATTAGAAAACATTCTCCAACTTGTCACACAGGAAGAAGCTGCTGTGAGGAAAAATAGAAGTCTCTGAATGCATTCTGTAAAGTGCTAAAGAGCTCTAAGAAGGGATCATCATATCCACAATGAACATCATTTTTAGCTGGGGGTTTTATCCCTGGCCATTGTTGCAGACTCAGAGTAATATACCTGTGTGAAATAAGGCCACTTAGTACAATGGACAACCTTTTACACTGAGATCAATAAATGATCAACAAAAGGTGACACACAGGGTGGAACCTCTAACATGATGTTAAATAGAGTCATGTTGGGATGTTAGTGACCAATGACTGGGAACTAACAATAATTGAGGAATTTGAACATACATAAAGTTCTCAGGGGACAAGTTACCCATGAGAATAACCAGAGTCTCTCACTCCAATCATCGAGAGAAGCAACAACTAAACTGTGCACGGAAGCCTGGTTCTGTTTTCTTAGGAAGAACACTAGTATATTTACTTTACTCGGAGTTATTTCTTCTTGGTAGTGCAAACATCTTCAGAGAAGATTCATCATTAACTTTTCTGGCAGAAATTAGACAGAATCATGAGCGGCATAACAGAAACTAGGCTAAAGTATTATGTAAGTCGTGTTGGCCCATGGCAGCATAACTTCCCAAAATTCATATTGAGATTATAGGTTATATAAACACTTATGCACTTGAATTCTCTCATTAATAAAACAGAGATGAGTACCCTTTTTTCTGAGATAGTAGAATGGATGCTTTGCCAGAATCCTTGCCCACTTGGAAATATCAAGTAGTGTGTAGAGATTCACACTGTGAACTTGTATCCAAGAAGAAACATGATTGTTCAACATAAAAGTGAAAGAAAACTTTGAATACTGCTGAAAACAAGACAGACAGCAGCCCAAATGGAAATCTGTGAATCAATCCCTCCATATGTGAGAGGGGGAGTGCTCCACAATACACATTTCCACCAGGAAGCCAGGAAATCTAGACCATCGGGAACTTTTGAGCTTCCCAAAACCTGGATCAGACTTGGGGAACAGTCAAGGGACTGTGAGAAGGAAGAGCACTGGGAAGTACCCCACATGCACTCCCAGGCTTAAGGACCAATGGAAGGAGGTCATTCCTGACGCTAACTCATAGTGGGTTGCACAGAAACCTGCCAGCTAGCATTGGTGGCAGTCACTGGTTTGTAGAGTCGTTAGTCAGGGATTTATGATCTTAACTTGATTGGAGGAGGAATCCACATAGCCAGAATGGAGAGGCAAGAATAGCATGGGCTTCAGCTGCAGACAATGGAATTGGGAACCCACCTTGCAGGACCAGATCAGGAGGGTTTGAGTCTGAGATGAGTGGTGTTGGCCAGGGTAGAAAGTTTTGCAGCCTGGGACATTTTCACAGTCTAAAGGCAAACTGCATTTGAGTTGGCTAACTGTCCCAATTCACTGCTAGTGTCCAGCCATGGGAAGGAGCCATGATGGGTTGAGTGAGAGCAAATTGGGTCTTACTACTCCTTGATAGATCATGGAGCCTAAGATGCACTCTTTCCCTCATGGGGTCATTGGCACAGCAGCAGTTGCTCTGCTTCTTGCTGGAGTGTTTCTTCAGAGGGCTGAGGATTTCTCTCTGAACCCTGTAAGGGCCAGCACTTGTACATGCCATTGTGGGGTTCAAGTGCAGACTTGCACAACCCCACACTGCCCAGCCTTGCCTTCTTGCCTTGGACACAAAGCATGGAACCACCAGTTTAGACACCCAGAAACAAAGCCAAATAACCCTATTCAGCATACATCATAGTCACATTCTCAAGAAAAGTAAGTCACACCCCAATGAAAGTAAATTCAATAATAGAAGTGACTAATTCTCCAGATGCAAAGAAATCAGGATAATAATACTGGAAGTATGAAAAAACAAAGTGCTATAACACCTCCAAAGGAGCACAGTAATTCTCTAGCAATGAATTTGAACCAATAAGAAATCTTCAAAATGTCAGACAAAGAATGCAAAATACTGATTTTAAAGAAGTTCTGTAAGATATAAAAGAAATCTGAATACCATGCAAAGACATCAGAAAATCAATTCATGATATGAGCTAGAAATTTACCAAGGAGGTAGAAATCTTAAACAACCAAACAACTTCTGGAAATGAAAATTTCAGTGAAAGAATTATGAAGAACAGTTGAAAGCCTTAACAATAGACTAGAATGAGCAGAGAACAGAATCTCAAAATTTGAAGACAGTTGTTTTGAATTAATTCAATCAGACAAAAATAAAGAAAGGAGAATAAAGAAGAACAAACAAAGCCTTTGAGAAGTATGGTACTACATGAAGCAACCAAACATATGAAGTATAAGTATTTCCAAGGGAGAAGAAAAAGCAAAAAGCATAGAAACCCTATTTAAGGAAATAATTGACAAAAAGTTTTCCTAGTTTGGGAAGAGATTTACACATCCAGATACAAGAAGCCCAACGAACTACAGAAAAATACATTGCAAAAAGGACCTCAACATGACATATAGTCATCAGATTGTCTAAAGTCAACATGAAAGAAAAATCCTAAAATCAGCATGAGAAAAGTGTCTAGTCATCTATAAAGAAAATCCCATCAGACTAATAGCGGACTAAAAGCAGAAACCTTACAAGCTAGAAAAAATATTCTATTTTTAAAGTACTTAAAGGAAAAAAAACTCTGTCAACCACAAATTTTAAATCCTATTCAGAATAAGCTTAATAAATGAAGGAGAAATAAAGTTCTCAGACAACCAAATGCTGAGGGAATTCATTACCACTAGACTGGCCCTATAAGAAATTCTCCAGGAGTTCTAAATGTGAATACAAAATGTCAATATTCACCATCATATAAACACAAAATTACAAAAAGAAAATAAAAGACAACGACTACACGACAGAACTACAGAACTCCGAACTCCACTAAACCACAAAGACAAAGGAAAAAAAGAAACAAAGAATCTACCAAACAGCTAGATTACAATTTGCATTATGTCAGAAACAAAAGCTCACATGTCAATATTAACCTTAACAATAAATGAATTAAAATTTTCCACTTAAAAGGTATACATTGATGACATAGATAAAAACATGAACCTACTACATGCTACTTAAAAGAAAATCACCTTACTGGTTGGCAGACAGTTATAGACAGAAGTTAAACAGGTGAAAAAGATATTCCACACAGATGAAAACCAAAAGGGAAAAACAGACTTACAATAAACAATGATAAAAAAATACAAATAAGGTCATTATACAATGATAAAGAGATGAAATCAGCAAGAACATATAAAATTCTAAATATATGTGCACCCCAAAATGGAACAGCACCCAGACTCATAAAAAAATACTAGACATAAAGAAAGAAACCCTAGAAGAAAACCTAGGCAATACCATTCAGGACATAGGCATGGGCAAGGACTTCATGTCTAAAACACCAAAAGCAATGGCAACAAAAGCCAAAATTGAGAAATGGAATCTAATTAAACTGAAGAACTTCTGCACAGCAAAAGAAACACCATCATAGTGAACAGGCAACCTACAGAATGGGAGAAAATTTTTGCAATCTACCCATCTGACAAAGGGCTAATATCCAGAATCTACAAAAACTGAAACAAATTTACAAGAAAAAATTAAACAACCCCATCAAAAAGTGGGCAAAGGATATGAACAGACATTTCTCAAAAGAAGACATTTATGCAGCCAACAGACACATGAAAAAATGCTCATTATCACTGGCCATCAGAGAAATGCAAATCAAAACCACAGTGAGATACCATCTCACACCAGTTAGAATGGTAATCACTAAAAGTCAGGAAACAACAGGTGTTGGAGAGGATGTGGAGAAATGGGAACACTTTTACACTGTTGGTGGGACTGTAAACTAATTCAACCATTGTGGAAGACAGTGTGGCGATTCCTCAAGGATCTTGAACTAGAAATACCATTTGACCCAGCCATCCCATTAGTGGGTATATACCCAAAGGATTATAAATCATGCTGCTATAAAGACACATGCACACTTATGTTTGTTGTGGCACTATTCACAATAGCAAAGACTTGGAACCAACCCAATGTCCATCAATGATGGACTGGATTAAGAAAATGTGGCATATATACACCATGGAATACTATGCAGCCATAAAAAAGGATGAAGCCAGAAACCATCATTCTGAGCAAACTGTCGCAAGGACAGAAAACCAAACACCACATGTTCTCACAGATGGGAACTGAACAATGTGAACACTTGGACACAGGGTGGGGAACACCACACACCGGGGCCTGTAGTCGGGTAGGGGGAGGGAGGAAGGATAGCATTAGGAGATACACCTAATGTAAATGACGAGTTAATGGGTGCAGCACACCATCCTGGCACATGTATACATACGTAACAAATCTGCACGTTGTACACGTGTACCCTAGAACTTAAAGTATAATAATAAAAACAGAAAGAAACATACAGAAATGCAGTAATAATGGGGGACTTAACACCCCACTGACAGCACTAGACAGGTTATCAAAACATAAAATTAACAAAGAAACATTGGACTTAAATTTTAGACCAAATGGACATCACAAACATTTACAGATTAGTCTAACTAACAAAAGTAGAATATAGTGTTTTCATGGGCACATGGTATATTCTCCAAGATATGTCACAAAACAAGCCTCAATATATTTTTAAAAGTTGAAGTTATACCAATTATATTCTCAGAGCATAGCCAAATAAAACTAGAAATCAACACCAAGAGGAACTCTGGAAACTATAAGCAAATACCTGGGAAGTAAACAATATATTCCTAAACAATATTTAGGTTGTTTACCAAATTAAGTCATACATTAAAAATTTTTGAAATAAATAAAAATGGAAACAAAACATACCAAAACATATTGAAAACAGCAAAAGCAGTGCTAAGAGAGTAGTTTATAGTATTAAATGCCTACATCAAAAAATAGAAAGATCACAAATTAACAACATAACATTGTACCTCAAGGAACTAGTAAAACAAGAACAAACAAAACCCAAAGCTACCAGAAGAAAACAAATAACAGAGATCAGGGTAGAACTAAATGAAATTGGGACAAAAACAAATAAAATAGACAAACCACTAGCTAAACTACCTAAGAAAAACATGAGAAGAGATCCATATAAACGTAATCCAAAATAAAAAGGAATACATTATAGCTAATACCACAGAAATACAAAAGATCATCAGAGGCTGCTATGAACAGCTATGCATTCGCAAACTAGAAAACCTAGAGAACATGAATAAATTCCTGGAAACAAATAAGCTCCTAAGATTGAATGGGAGAGAAAAATCTTGAACAGAGCAATAATGAGTGATTAAATCAGTAATAAAAAAACTTCCCAACAACACCAACAAAAAAGCTCAGGACTGGATAAATTCACAACTGAATTCTACCAAGGTAAAAAGAAATAATAGCAATCTTTTGAAACTCTTCCGAAAAATCAGAGAGGAGAGAATATTCCCTAACTCATTCTCCAAAGCTGGTATGAGTCTGATACCAAAGCTGGCAAGGACATAAAAATGGAATACTACAGACCAATCCCTGATAAACATAGATGCAAAAATCCTCAAAAATATACATGATTTGCTAGCATTTTGTTAAGGACTTTCTATGTGAAGATTTTGCACATATATTGAGGTATATGTATAACAGCATATCAAAAAGATAATATACCACAATCAAATAGGTTTTATTCAGGGATGCAAGGATGGTTCAACACACACAAATCAATAGATGTGATTAATTACATAAGCAGAATTTTAAAACAAAAGCCATATGATCCTATAAATAAAGACAGAAAAGGCATTTGATAAAATTCAGCATCCTTTTATGATAAGAACTTTCAAAAAATTGGACATAGAAGGAACATGCCTCAAAATAATAAAAGCTATACATGAAAAACACATAGCCAACAGCATACTGAATGGAGAAAACTTGAAATCATTCTCCCTGAGAATTGGAACAAGACAAGGATGACTATTTTCATCACTCCAATTAAACATAACCCTGGAAGTCATAGCCAGAGCAATCAAGCAAGAACAAATATTAAATGCATTCAAACTAGAAAAGAGAAAGTCAAATTACCTCTGTTTGCTGATGATATGATTTATGTGTAAAAAATCTCACAGACTTCTCCAAATAATTCTTAGATCTGATAAATTAATTAAGAAAAGTTTAGGGTTATATAATAAATGTACAAAATTCATAGCATTTCTATATAATCAACATATAAAATTCAGTAGCATTTCAAAATGAGTAGCATTTGTATAGAAATGCTACTGAATTTTGTATGTTGATTATATAACCTTAAACTTTACTTAATTCATTTAAAAGCTTGATTCTCCACTTGAATTGAGCTGATAATCACATCAAGACATCAATCAATTTACAATATGTGCAAAAGAATACCTAGAAATATATTTAACCAAAGAGATAAAACACCTCTACAATGTAAACTGCAAAACATTGAGGAAAGAAATCATAGATGACACAAACAAATGGAAAAACATTCCATGCTCCTGAATTGGAAGAATCAATATCACAAAAATGACCATATTGTCCAAAGGAATCTAGAGATTCAATGCATTTTCTACCAAAATACTAATGTTATTTTTCACAGAGTTAGAAAAATACAGTCATAAGATTCACATGGAATAAAAAAAGAAGCTCAAGTAGTCAAAATAATGCTAAGCTGAAAGAACAAAGCTGGTTTCATCACATTATCTGACTTGAAGTTATACTGTAAGGCTGTAGAAACCAAAACAGCATGATACTAGTTTTTAATAGACACATAGATGAATAGAACAGAATATAGGACCAAAAAATAAAGCTACACACCTACAGCCAACTGATCTTTGACAATGTTGACAAAACATGCATTTGAGAAAGGATACACTTTTCAATAAATGCTGGGAAAAGAGAATTTTCCTTTGCAGAAGAATGAAACTGACTCCTATCTCTCACCATATACAAAAATCAACTCAAGTTGGATTAAAGACTTAACTGTAAGACCTGAAATTGCAGAAATACTAGAATAAAACCTAGGGAAAACTCTTCTAGACATTGGGCTAGGCAAAGGATTCATGAAAACCTCAAAAGCACAGGCAACTAAAATAAAAATAGACAAATATGACTTGATTAAACTGAAAAGCTTCTGCACAGCTGAATAGAATGAATAGAAAACCTGCACAATGAGAGAAAATATTTTCAAACTCTGCATCCAAGAAGGGACTAATTTTAATCTAGAAACCATAAAGGACTCAAATAACTAATCAATAACAAGAACAGTAAGAAAAAGCATTAAAAAGTGGACAAAGGACATGAAGAGATATTTTTCAAAAGAAGACATAGAAATTGCCCACGAGCACATGAAAAATATTCAACATCACTAATCTTCATAGAAATGCAAATTAAAATCACAATGAGATATCATTTTATACCAGGCAGAATTGCTATTGTTTAAAAAGTCAAAAAATAACAGATTGGGGTGAGGCTGCAGAGAAAAAAGAACACTTATACACTGTTGGTGGGAATGTAAATTAGTACAGGCACTATGGAAAACGATGCAGAGATTTCCCAGATAACCAAAAATAGAACTACCATTCAATCCCGCAATCCCACTACTAGCTATCTACCCAAAGGAAAAAAATCTTTATATAAAAAATAAACCTGCACTTGTATTTTTATCACAGCACTATTCACAATAACCAAGATATGGACTCAACATGAGTGTCCATCAATAGAGGATGGGATAAAGAAAATGTGATACATATCTCTCACACACACACACACACACACATATAAACACACACATATATATATACACACATCATGGAACACCACTCAACCATAAAAAAGAGTAAAATCATGTCTTTTGCAACAGCACAGATGGAACTTGAGGCTGTTGTCTTTAGGGAAATAATGCAGAAAGTCAAATACCGCATGTTCTTACTTATAAGAGGAAGTGAAATAATGTGTACACATGAACATACAGTGTGAAATAATAGACTTTGCAGACTCAGAAGGGTAGGAAGGTGGGAGCGAGGAGAGGAGAGAGGGTTGACAAATGAAAAATGTCTTAATAAATACAATTGCATTATTCAAGTGATGGTTACTCCAAAAGCCCAGGCTTCAACACTACACAATATATCTATACAACAGAATTCTACTTGTATTCATACAAATAAAAATAAAATGAAGATGATGGTAATGCTTAATTCATATGGTTGGCAGGAGCATGTAAATTAATAAGGTGTTTAAAACTGAGTCTGGTACATACTAAACTGTCAACAAACACACTAGCTATAAAAAAAAATTATAAAGTCATCCTGTTTCTATGAAAGAGCCTCCATTCATTTCTAAGAGTGTTCATTATCTCCAAAACACATAATATATCCCTTAGAGGCACTGGAAGCCATGACGAGGTAATTCCAAATATCTTGCCACATAATTATGAGGTTGGAGTTGTTTTAAATAATTAACTAGCTAAAAATAAAACAGAAGAGAATTAAAATGTACAGTGTTTAAGCTGACAAAGCAAATTGGGAAACACTTTTATCTGTAGTGTACTGAATTTTTCCACTGAGATATAAAGTTGAACAACCCCAGTACTCATCAAAAACTTTCCAGATGTATTTTTATGCAGAGATAGTCTATAACAAGGGCACCAGAAGCAGACATATAACATTTTTTTTCTGGAAGTCCTTTACCCCAACTCTTCCAATTTTTAGCGTTTCTTGCTACATGAAACTTGGTGGAAAACTGTGTAACATTGTTTAAGAACTGTTTTATAGTTTCCTACTATGTGAAATCTGGTGGAAAACCATGTAAAATTGTTCAGCTGGGCACAATGGCTCATGCCTGTAATCTCAGCACTTGGGGAGGCTGAGGTGGACAGATCACTTGAGGTCAGGAGTTCAAGACCAACCTGGTCAACATGGTGAAACCCTGTCTCTACTAAAAATACAAAAATTAGCCAGGCATGTGGCACCTGCCTGTAGTCCCAGCTACTTGGGAGGCTGAGGCAGGAGAATCGCTTGAACCTGGGAAGCATAGGCTGCAGTGAACTGCACTCTAACCTAAGCAACAGAGCAAGACCCAATCTCAAAACAAATAAACAAACAAAAAACAGAAACAAAGAGACAAACAAAAAAACAGTTTTCAGGATGACATGAATTCAAATCCTGGTTCTGCCTAAATTGTCCTGGAACATGGGCAAATGTCTTAATGTCATTAAGCCACATTTTCCTCATTAATAAAATGATAACAATAACAATCCTACCTTGCCATGGAGTTGTCAGGATCAAATGAGTTATGATATGTAAAACACAAAGAACAGTGCAACTGTACGAGGATTCTATATAAATGAGAATAGTTCTTTTTGAAAATCTGCTTACCATGCTCACAGCTTAGCTGCCAGCAAACTTGTCTTAAATATGGGGGAAAATAGACATCCTTGTTTGTCTCTGCTTACTCACATTATCTGGACTTACTTATGCACTGGCCATGATGTTTTATCAGCTATGTTCAGTACAGGAATTCCAACTCAATTCACTGGGAAAGAAAATAAAAAGAAAAGCCATGAAAGAGGAGCATATTTGGCTCAGTTCTCAGGCTTTCTTATTAAATACCAATTCATAATACTAGGTTATTATACTGGAAAATGACAAAAAAACAAGCTCAAGTATACCAGTGGCTGATTTCAAGTACACTAATTTTATGCCTTCATATTTAAAGTAAATTTTTTGTAGACGGCATGCAGTGGGTCTTTTTTTTTTTCTTTTTTTAAAATCTAACGTTCTTTTTCAATTTGCTAAGTTTACACTGTATTTAATGTACTCATTGACACAATGAATTAAAATCTACCATCAGACCAGGCACAGGTGGCTCACACCTGTAATCCCAGCACTTTGGGAGGCCAAGGCAGGTGAATCACTTGAGGCCAGGAGTTCAAGACCAGCCTGACCACCATGGTGAAACCCCGTCTCTATTAAAAATGCAAAAATTAACCAGGCATGGTGGTACACACCTGTAATCCCAGCTACTTGGGAGGCTGAGGCAGGAGAATCTCTTGAACTCAGGGGGCGAAGGTTACCATGAACTGAGCTTGCACCACTGCACTCCAGCCTGGGTGACAGAGTAAGGCTCTGTCTCAAAAAACAAAAACAAAACAAGCAAACAAAACAAAAAAACCCCTACAATCTTCCTAGGTTTTTTTCTGTTTTTTCCGTCTTTTCTTTGTTTCTTTTGTCTTCTTTTCCTTTTTAAACTATTTACTATCTTTATGGTTCCATTTTATCTCCACTATTGATTTATTATTAAATACCTCTCTTCAAAATTGTTTTAGTTATTGCCCTAGAGTTTACATTATATATCTGGAATTCATGAAAGTATGCTTCTTTATAATACTGTGCCATTTTATGAGTTGTTTAAGGATGTTGCAAACATATACTGCCAATTATGCACTCTAATACTTTATATTATTATACATTTTCCTTGTATGTATTCTATACATAAATATAGAGTATATTCCTACTATCTATGATTTAGACAGTCATCTTTTAAACAATTGAAAATACAAAAAGAGTAGGTCTTATGTCTATCTATCTTCATTTAACTCATTTTCAGTGCTCTTCATTTCTTTGCACAAATGTAAATTACTGATTGGCATCATATTTCTTATGTCTGAAGAAATTCCTTCAATATTTCTTGCAGTGAAGGGCTGCTGACAATGAACTTGCAGCATGTGTGTCTGAAAAATGTCTTTATTTCTCTTTTATTTTTGAATACATTCACTTGGTTTAACAGGGTTTCTTTATTATTTCAGCATTTGACAGATGTTTTCTGGCATGCACTGCTTCTGATAAGAAATCTGCAGTGAATCTTGTTTTTGTTCCTCTGTATGCAATGTGTCTTTTTTCCTCTGAATGTATTTATAATTTTCTTCTTATATTTGGTTTTCAGCAATTTGAATGTGACACGTATAGGTGATAGCCATTTTGTTAAATCCATAGTATACAGAGCAAAACAAAAAAGTACCTGCATAAATAGACTTTGGTCTAATGGGGAGACATTAAAAACTTAAACTCTCAGATAAATAATTATAAATTATATATTATGAAAAAAATGAAACAATTTTCTCAGAGAGGATAATAATAGAGGAAGCTTAAATTTAAAAGGATAGAATAAGGCCAGGCACAGTGGCTCACACCTGTAATCCTAGCACTTTGGGAGGCCAAGGCAGGCAGATCACTTGAGACCAGGAATTCAAGACCAACCTGGCCAACGTGGTGAAACCCTGTCTCTACTAAAAATATTATACAAAAAGTTAGCCAGGCACAGTGGTGTGTGCCTGAATTCCTGCTACTCAGGCAGCTGAGGCATGAGAATAGCTTGAAGCCAGGAGGTAAAGATTGCAATGAGCTGAGATGGAGCCACTGCACTTTCCCCTGGGCAACAGAGCGAGACTCTGTATCAAAAAAAATAAAATAAAATAAAGTAAAATTTAAAGGGTAGAATAAACATTTCCAGAATGGCAAAGCAAGGACCTCCAAAAATTTGCTCTTCCATAAAAGCAATTATAACACAGGTAAAACAGTGTTTTGAAACTCTAGAAACTAACCAAGGACATGCAACAATTCAAGGAGTATTCATTCAAAAACAATGACTGAATCTCAGGGTCAACAGTGAGTTTTGTGGTACGTTAGCTTGCTTTATCCACCAGCTTTGCGGTAACCTTGAACACCAGCACACACGGAACTATGGTAGCTGAAAAAAACAATGGTCTAACAACCATTGAAGTGAACAAAATGTGTTGGAGATTGCTAATGGGCCTGCTTCCCAGAGAATTGTCACTGTTTCATCTATTTGGCAGCTTCCTGGGAAAACCCCATTCACAATTTTGTCTCTATTTCACCAGACTCAGTTCACTCAGTGAGAAAGTTTTATTCCTAGAGTGTTTGTCAAAGCATTGAGCAGCAATTGTTTAACATCGCAATTGCCTGAAAATGTAAATATTAGTTGGAGCATACAATAATCTAATCAAACTCTTAAAAAAATCGATGAGGGCATTAGAAATCCATAGAGGGCTTTGAAAAGCTCCCATATATTCCTGGGGATTACAAAAGTCATGCATATGGGCAAGGCCCTATGTATTCACAGGAAAGACCTGAGAGGACCTAATGTTTCATTTGTGGCTGATCTTGAGGCTCTGCACAAAAAGGACATGAAGATTAAAGGCAGAATTTAAACTGCTGGAGCACTGAAAACATGCTCCAGCACACGCGTGCAAAGCCCATGCATAAGGCTTCAGAGAATTAACCATTTAAAGCACTTAAAAAACTCTGTCCAGTTGTTAGTTGACCGCTAACTAACTGAGTAGAAATTTCAGTGGCCACACACAACAAGAAATGCAGAATTAACACAAGTAACTCAGGAAAATCACTAAACAAACAAAAGTGCTACCAACAATAACAAAGCCTAGATGGGAGGAGAGAGATGCTTTTTAGAATGTGCTATTTTTTTATTATTTAAAATATCCAGATTTTAACAAAAAAAGTGTCACTTAAAGAATGAGGAAAGTATGGCCAATTCATATGTTTAAGAAAACAGTCAATAGAAACTGTCCATGAGGAAATCCAAAATTGGACTTAGTAGACAAAGATTAATATGAGGTGGAGGAAATTATCTTATTGTGAATCCTTTATAATTAAAATATGAATCATATAGAGGCCTTTGCCTTCCCTACAGTCTTTTTAAAGGCACTCTTAACCTCTTTGTTCCTCAGGCTGTAGACCAGTGGATTCAACATGAGAATGACTATGGCATAGAACACAGATGCCATTTTGTCCATGCCCATGAAATGGCTGGAGCTAGGTCATAAGTACATAAAGATGCCTGTCCCACAAAAGATGGAAACTGCAGTAAGATGGGAAGCACAGGTGGAAAAGGCCTTCTGGTGTCCTTCAGAAGAGTGCATCTTCAGGATGGTGATAAATGTAAGTAAGTAGGAGATCAAGATTACCAGGATAGAAAAGAAGTCATTGAATCCCACCACAAAAAAAAATAACCATCTCACTGATGTAGTTGTCTGAACATGAGACAGCCAAGAGAGGAAGAGCATCACAGAAAAAGTGTTCAACTACATTGGATCTGCAGAAGGAAAGCCTGAAAGTGTTCCCAGTATGAATGGGTGCATTCAGGAAACCACAGACATAGGAGCCTATGGCCAGGCAAGCACATACGTTTGTTGTCATGGTGGTGGTGTGATGCAGGGGTTTACACACTGCTGCATAGCGGTCATAGGCCATTGATGCCAGGAGGGAATTTTCTACAGTGATAAAGGCTACAAAGAAGAATAATTGTGTGACACAAGCATTGTATAATATGAATTTGTCTCCTGTGAGGAACCCCACCATCACCTTGGGAGTGACAGCTGAGGAATAACCAAAGTCCACCAGGGAGAGGTTACTGAGGAAGAAGTACATGGGGGTATGGAGACAGGAGGCCAATATAATCAATTCAATCATCCCCAGGTTCCCAACCAGAGTGATGAGGTAGACAAAAAGGAAGACTATGAAGAGTGGGATCTGCTGTTCTAGGTCATCAGTTAATCCCACAAGAATGAATTCAGTCACCTCTGTGTTGTTCTCCATTGGGAATGATGTAGCTTCCCTGTAGAAATGAAAAGACAGAATCAGAATGATAAATGGAGGGAGGACTACTGAGATCAGTCACTATGCCCATTTTGTGCTTTATTCCAGTATTTTAATTACTTGTTTCCAGCAGTCCTGGATCTAAAACATGCCCATGACAACAAAATGCAATTGTAAATTACAATAATTCATAGAGCATTCTTAATAAAATGATTTTGGAGATAATCCATCCCAAACTCCTAATTTCATAGATTACTGAACTAAGGTACAGAAAAGGAAAGATTCATACAAGATCACAAGACTAATTAATTGGAACAGGCAAAACATAAACCAAATCACTTTGAATTAAAGCCTTCACTTTTTATCATAAAGAAAAATTCCTTTAAATCTTTTACATTCAACCTAAACTGGACAGAAGATAGTAATTTATTTAATTGACGAACTGACTGCCTGATGGAGTAATTAAATCTATCACTGTAAGTCAATGTGAAGAATGGAATAGCATGAAATTAGGAATCAAATATACTTACCAGTTTTCTTGGCTTCACGCAAATAACCTACATTTCTAGATCTCAGTTAAATGATAATAACTGCATCCACAAATGTTTATAACCTCTTCCAACCCTTAAAAAATCTTCAAAGAGTTAAAAAGGAACATGACTATTCAGTAATACCAACCAATTGACCAATCAACGTAAATTTCTGTATGTGTTCATTTCCTCATTCTCTCTACAAGCACTAATTTCGAATAGAGCACCATGTTGCGTGCTAATTGCCAAGTTTACACTAATGCACGAGATACATTCTCTGACCAGATAGATATCTAAATTGCTAAATATCATGTTCAAGTTCAGAATATTCTTATTCTCCATTCCCAAGGAGAGAGAAGTGTTTTCTCATTTGCTCAGAACTGTGTGATAGATGTTAATCGCATCTACACTGCAGACCATCAGTCAGTCCATAATGTAGTTAATAAATTGTGTCCAATGACCAGATGTTTTTAGTGGCAGAATTAGAACATGAAATTAGGTCTCCTCATTCCACTAGTTAGTTGTGCCTTATGTAACTTTGCACATCTCTATTTCAGTGCATTTTATAACTGGCTTCTAAGCCTGATTTCTTCCTCATTTATTAATCACCATTCCTTCTGTCTTTCTTTTTTAAAAAAAAAATTAGTATGGGCTTCCAGATTACAGTAAAATTTTATGTTGACATTCCATTTGATTATCTCAACAACTCTAGAATTAGGAGAACTAATATTATCATATTTCTTGAAAAAGAAAATTGAGAAATAAATAGTTTAAATAACTTGTTCAAAGTAATGTAATCTTATTCTTTGTAAAGCAGGGACTCGAGGCCTTCTTGTGCTTTTTCTTTATGTCACATAATAAGTATACATATTCTAATAGAAACTCATTAGTGCTTAGAAATACGAGTTGAGAATCCCTAATCCAAAAATCCAAAGTCTAAAATGCTTCCAAATCCAAAACTATTTGAGCACCAACATGATGCTACAAATGGAAAATTCCACACGTAAGTATGTAGCACAAACTTTGTTTCATGCACCAAAATTATTTAAAATATTACATAAAATTACTTAGGCTATGGATATAATGTGTATATAAAACATAAATGAATTTTGTGTTTAAATTTGGGTTTTATCCCCAATATATCTCATTATAAACATGTGAATACTCCAAAATTTAAAAAAATCCAAAATCTAAAACACATCTGTTCCCAAATATTTTAGATGAGGAATATTCAACATATATAGCCTCTGGATGTGTGAAAGAGATAAAAGAAACATTCAAAATATTAGAGCCAAATCTCTGATTAAACCAAAGGAGAAATGGGTACCTTGATGCATTTTTCTAGCTACCTCTGCCCCTGCAACTTTGTGCAGACAATAGATTTGATCCAGAGACTTACCTTTCGCCCTGAGAAATACAAAATTTGGGTCCAGCACTTTCATATATAAGTGAATGTCACATCAGAAATTAAGTTCTTTAAAAAAGGAAAACAACTTTTTGAAGACTCCTCTTTAGTGTTTGGCCAAAAGGCTTAAAGTTCTTTAGAGGCAGGGAGAAATTGAAAGAAAAATGCTATTGACTTTGGAATCAGCTAATAAGAGCTCTACTCCTGTATTTACTGCTCCTTCTTTGTAGATAAGACTCTTAACTCATTTGTATATCAATAGCTGAATCTATAAAAAAGAAAATAATAAAAGATAGCCCCAACAACATCCAGCCTGAAAACTGCTGCTATGGTAAGAAAAGAATAGGAAACCTATAATTTCTTATACTCAGTAAGAGGTGATAATCACAACCTCAATTAACATAATTATTACTGGGGTTTTTAATAAACATTGTTGCAGGCTCTTTGCTATATATCAGTTTTGGAGAAGGTCATAGTTACTACTAGATGACTATTGACAATCAGATGAATAAATAAATGGTCAAAGTGACTCTGGTTCTGGGGCTGCTCCTTCTAATATGAAGCCAAATGGAATCATATAGGTACTTGATCAGTTGAAAAGTGGGAACCAGAAGGTAATTATATGGTCACGGAGCTCTCAGGGGACACATACTCTATGAGGGCTACAAAACACTTTATCTCACATACGTGGAAATCAGGTGATTAAAGAATCTGTGGGGATCCAGCTCTGCTTGTTGTGGGAGATCATGAATGTATTTATGTTACTTTCAGTTATTCTCTTGGGTAATGCACAAATTAAGCCACAGCATGTCCTTCAAGATTGTGATTTGACATAAATACTAAGAGACAGAGACACACATTTTATCATTAAATAAGGGATGTGGACTTGAGGGATTAGTGTTTCTTTTAATTCGCCTTAAATGTTTGAACCATTGAGAAGAAATATTAATTCATCAACTGTTTATTTATTGCAAGTGGATTTTAGCCATAGTGATGAGATTTAAGAACACAGACCCATGCAAAATAAACATCATTCTTGTGCCCATGGTGTTTAAATCTAATGGAGAAGATAGACAGTAAGCAAATAAACTCCCTAAGAAACATGCATAAATATGCATGTATATATATATAAATACATATGTACATATGGAATAAGCATATAACTATACATAAAAATGAGATAAAAAATAAATCTACTTTATATTGTTTGGTCAGAATGTTTTCTCTGGAAAATTAAGATTTCAGCCAAGTTTAAAAATGACAAAGAACCAGTATGGAAAAGATCAATTCCAAACAAAATGAAATATATGTGGTAAAGGACCCAAGTTTCAAGAAAGTTAACAGAATCTAAAAGAAGCCAGAATGTTTTCTTCATAACTAGACTTCTTCCTTGTCAATTTCTGTTTCAGCATCCTCCACCAAAGAAACCTTGACAAACAAAATAAACAGAGTGACACATAAACAAGATGGCAGAATAGGAGATATAATCCTCTTCCCCTCACACAAAAAATCAACCAATAATTATCCATGAATGATAATAGCCTTAGTAGGACTCAAGGGACCATTTAAAAACCTGTAGCAACATAGTGAAACCAAAAAGGTGGGAGAGGAATAAACACATAGAAAAGACTGTTGGAGATTTGTATATACCTGAGATGTCTAGAGATGTCTAGGAACAAAGAAAAGCAGGTTCCAGCATTATCAACCATGTTATGAGTGCCACCATTGTTCCCAGCAACCTGCTGTACAGAGAACACTGCCATCTTTCACTACCAAGATAATCAACAGCCATCCCCACCATGGAGCCCCAGAAAATGAAACACTGCTGCACCAATGCTTCCAGAAGGGGCAACTGTTTTGTTGCCCCATGGCCAAAGCCACCATTCTTTCCAACTTTGCACCTTCCTCAAACACGGGAGCCACTACTGTTATAGGTTAGCCACACCCCAAACCTTAGAGCCCCAGTTGCTGTGTGTGCATACACACTGCATGCACTAAGTCCACTACAATATTGACCAGCCTGAGGCCCAGAGTCCAGAGCCACTGTAGCTTTGAGCAAACCTACACTCTGCACCCTAGAGCCACTATATCTCTGCACATGCTTGGACTTTGGCCCCCAGCTTCTCAGCTGCTTCACAAGCATCTGTGCCCCACACAGAGTTATCAAGGCAGCAGTGGGGCATCTACAACCAAGGCATTCATGTCATCAGCACTTCAGACTCCAGAGTGATTTTGCCTCTGTGCATGGCCATGCTTTGTATCAAAGGATACAAAATTTCTGTTAGAAAGGAGGAATAGATTCATAAAACCTACTGTACAACATGATCCATATATTTAAAAACAAGATACTGTGTTCTTGAAAAATGTTAAAAGGATAGAGTCTAAATGTTCTCACCCTCAAAATGATAACTTTTTGAGGTAATGCGTATGTTAATTAGCTAGCTTTAGCCATTCTAGAATGTATATATATTTCAAAAAATTATGTTGTACACAATAAATATGTATTATTTAGTCAACCAATTAAAAATAAGTTAAAAATATTTTCACTGAATACTCATAAGTGTACAAAATGAAAACTTTATTAAATTATCTAAAGTTATGCTTAGGGAGAAATTCCTAGAAAAAAATAAAGACTGAAAATCAATTATTTCAGCATCCAGATCAAGAAGATAAAAAAGAAGAGAAAATTAAACTAAAGGTAATAGAAGAAAAGAATAAAAGTTAAATTGTATACTAATGAAATAATAAAAATCATATAACTTCTAAAAACCAAAGTCAAAAGTTGATATTTTAAAAATACTAATTAAGTTTATTAATCCCTAATAAAACTTATCAATAAATAGAAAAGGCACAAATTACCAATATCTGGAATGAAAAAGGCATTATTAAAAATTTAATCTGAGACTGTTATGAATTACTTAAAGCCACCAATTTTTTAATGTATATAAAATTTACAAATTCCTAGAAGAAAACGTACTAAAACTAACACAAGAATCAAGAAAAAATTTAACAGTCTTCTATTTATATAGAAAACTTAGATCTAAGTATAGATTTATTTATTTATTTATTTATTTATTTATTTAT